ACAGGTCTCGACTTGATGGCTCGGAAGGGAAGTAGCACGTGCAAAATGCCCCCCCCCCCTATCGTCGCCGTTCTGCGCAGGCATTTCTTTTTTCGAGCTCACTTGGACTTTTCTTAGAGCTTTTCTCTTTTAGACCCCGTATATTGTGAAGTTGGCCTATGCGACTCCATCGCGACGACATGGTGATGGTACGGAGGAAGGAGGTGAAAATGGTGCCGGAGGCCCACCACGAGGAGGTTCTCGTGGGGGATTCCGGGGAAGTAGACGGTTTGTGAGAATATTAATACATTTCAATAATTCAGAGTATCAGTTTGTTGTGATTTCATGCTTTGATAAAAGATTTGTCGTTCGACTTTCACATGTGGAAGTGACTATATGACAAAACAGCCACAAGCTACAAACAGTCACATGTGACAATTACACTAAAGCATTACATTACAACAAACATGCAAAGCAATTTATACGTTTATTGAATTACAGTTTACATAAATTACAGTTTACAGAACACATTTCAGTTGAGTTTGTATGTGTTGTGCCACTGACACTACACTTACTTGTTTGTAAAAGACAAGTTTATCGCTCTCAGGCAGCGTTAGACTTCGCGATGACGCGAGTCGACACACGACGACACGCTACAGCTGCAACATTGCTCCGATGCTGGACGCGAGCGCAGCCGCAGATGGGAACTTCGGCGCCGCCCGCTTGTGTTTTAAGAGAGTATGGGAGAATGGAAGGGTATCAGATTGTGTAAAAGCGGGGGCTGATTCTGCTGTCCTATACTCCAAGCTCAAGCGGCCAGCGCCGATTGGTTCCCGTCTGCGGCTGCCTTCGCCTCTCTAGCAATGAAACGATATTGCAATTGCAACGCGTCGTCGCGCGTCGACTCGCTGAACGCTGCGTCAGGTTGAGAGGCAGCCATGAGAAGCGGAATCATTGCGACTGGAGCGTAGATGCCGCAACTACTACATCCAAGCCGCCTATGCAAAGCATTCTTTGCGCACCCTTGTCAGCATTCTTGATTCTTCTTTTCTTCGGATCCCCCTATGGGCAGTTTTTTGGTTGCAATCACAGGGCCTATTCAACATAGACCCTTCAGAATCCATCAGAACTACACAGTTACGGTTTGAGAGTACAGTATGCCGAGCCATAAGGTCCCGTTTGGAGGTATTCTGAGGGGTTGGGGTTGAGACAACAGCGTAGCACCGAGACTTACACATTGTAATGGCTGGGGAGTTCCAACTGTACGCGTGGAGGAAACAAGTGGGACTGATAGGGAGCGGTACTAGGTTCAAGAGATCCGAGCCGAGGCACAAACTGAAACCATATTCCTCGCTAGTTTACTGGGCACAGCAAATAGTTCAGGTCATACGCGGTTAGTCTATGCATGTCTTGATTGCTAAGGAAACGTGGCTGGGACGCTTTTATGTTTTCGACCTTTCAAGTTGATATTTTGCTTTTGGAATGAGGGTTTTAAGTGTAGGTCCCAGCCGGTCCGGATAAGATGGTGAAATAAATTTGCATGGGGGGCGTAGCCACCACGCCCTAAGTCATCTGACGTCGAGGTGCTATGGGAAGTCCACTAGCTACGGGTTCGCGTGCTATGCCGCGTTGCGGATTTCCTGAGGCACAGCCTCCTAGATATTTGGATGGGGGTGGAGCTTACTGTTATCACCCAATGCAACAATGTCGGCATTACCTGGTTTATGTCGCTTGAATCCAATAGTTCAGGGGCGGGAGGGAGGGATTAATAGGGTTGTGTTTTTGCAACTTTAGGCTGCGTCCAAATTTTGCGTCGTACGTCAGCGTCCACCAGGAGTGGAAAGTATGTGGAAATGGGTGGATAGCATACTGCTGGATTAGGCGGTTTGTGCAAACGCAGCGTACACTAAGATTGCATAATTCTACGCTTAAGCAGATTACGGTACGGTGGCAGACGTCGCCATTTCACGACGCATACATCAGTAGTCTGCTACCTTGCTACTCACCCATACTCTCCTTTTTCCTGTGGACGCTGGCGTATGCTGGAAACGCTCAAAACGTTGCCGTTCGCTGGCAGACGCTGACGCAAAGTATGAACGCAGCTCTATGTGCCCCAAAGCCAGCGTTTTTTCTTTCGTACTCAACGGCGTATCCCTTCCCCTTTCCATTTGTAGAGCATCTCCGTTGGTGTTCTCCTACGATGACTGTACCCTGAAGGCCAAGCCTTGGCTTGGGAAAGGGGCGCAGAGACACTGTGAAAAGCCCTCTGAAGCCCCTCTAAAAGCCAATTGTAGCAAAATGGGGGAGAGGAGGAACTTAGGGGAAATTCTATGTCAATGAGGCAGTAATTATGTAAGTTTATTGCTATATGTCCTTAGTCTTACGTGATTGTAGATTATTGAAGGTTTTAACGTCGAGTCAATCGTTAAAACTTTATACTGTGGGCGCGAAGAAATCATAACAACTCTGTAACAGTGCCAATTTGTCATTTGTTAGCGGTATGGGAAGTGGTTATCGGGGAGGGCGAGGTGGTCATCGAGGCTTTTGATTCAACACAAACACGCAACACGCAACACGTAGACAAGAACGAGTAGAAGCGCCTGGATGTCATCTACCACACAACTATACACTGTTTATTGTTATTTACAGTTGACATTACACAAACATCAAAACAGTAACAACAGTCGTTGACCTTGATGTTTACATATCAGTCTAGCGTCTAAGGTCGTTGTATTGTAATTATTTGATCGTTTTTTTTTCTGTTGTTATTTTTGTGCTAAATCTTTCCTTGTTCTAATGGGACCTTCCTTTGATTTTTTACTTTAATTCGTGTCGATAAATGTTTAGTTGTTCCTTCTCGGTTTTTCTTGTTGGTCCTCATGCGGTGGAACGTTTATATTTGATGAGTTTACCTAAGTCGTATCGTAACCTGGCCCATAATCTCGAAGGTATTCTCTGATTTGCGGAACTGTTCTAAAATGGGAGCAAAAGAAGAAGCGAAACGGCTCATCGCCAGACGAGACGAACTTGATACGGAAATTGAAAATAATTTGGAGGTTTTGAAGAAGGTCAGTTACGGAAATGTGTATCCTAGAATCCGTTCATACTTCGCGTCAGCGTTTTGAGCGACTAGAGAAGTATAGGTATCGGTCTAGCGTACGTCAGCGTCTTCAGCGTTTCGCCGATATTTCGAACTTTTCGCGAGTAGTCGCTGAAAATGCTAGCGTACACTTGAGAAGGCTATATCGATACCTATGCTTTCCTGGTCACTCGGGATGTTGCCGTACGCTCGAGTGCTGACGCGAAGCATGGACCGATTCTATTTTCGTGTGAACATTCACTGAAGGGATAGTCATTTGTTGTTTGTTCAGAACGGTTCCACGATGGACTCGCCGCTCGTCGATAGGGAAGGGTTCCCGTTCAGTCATATTGATGTGTACAGTGTCCGTCAGGCTCGTCACAACATAATTTGTTTGAGGTAAGTAGTTTTTCTGTTTAAGCTGAAACAAGGGCTCTGCCCCATTCAGAGCACGTAAGTTGGGGATTCCCAGGCAGGGGGAGGGAGTCGTACTTGCTTTTGAGAGGAATGTTTTTGGTTGTTGACTTTTCTTGGTTTTCTCCTGTCTCACGGGCGCTATGCACTCGCCTCCCTTCTGCTCGACTTTTGTCTTATGTAGAAAATACTGAAGATTCAGGCAGATGGAAGACAGGATGGAATTTGGGGGTCACATTCTGAAAAACCCTGGACTTTTCGTGGTCGTGCGGGTGTCATTGGATGGGCGTGAGTCCTGTCTTCTCTTAGCTGTCTGAGGGATAGGACAGAGGTCGAATATATCGATATGCGACCGCACCTTCGATTCTGTCGCATTATTCCCTAGGTTTTTCGGCGCTTGTTCGCCTTTGGGAGGGGCGAAGGGCATTTCTTATGATTTTGCTAGTTTCTCGCTAGTGTGAACTATTGAGAAACTGCGAAATCGTACAAGTGAGTGGCTGCAAAGATTTAGAGGCGCTCACAATGGTGGCGTGTACAGTTTTAGCTGTGCCCCCCCCCCATCTAGACGATGCGCACACTTTTCTATTATGCTGTCATATGAGAACATTTTCAGGAATGACCGCAAAGCTCTAACGGAGCAAATAGAAAAAGCCATTGAACGGTCACATGCGGAGAATCGAATACGGAAGTCGGAATCAGAGTCGAACTCTGAAGGAGAAGAAGCAGAAAATACAAATCCTGCAGTAGCAAAGTTCCCAAAAAGGTACTTATAACCTGTAAAGTTTCTCAAAGTGTGATTACCACTTCAAAATATTCACGTGTTTCAGCCCGATCCCCCTCCGCTTGTTCATCGAACCTCAAATAAGCCGTTCATAAAAGTGAGTGTGCTGGGGAAGGATTCACTTTTTTTTCTTGTAAGAGTGCGATACTCAATTTTGCACTTAAGGTTACAACAGTTATTCCCAACTCACCGGCTGCTCTAGGAGGTCTCAGAGCTGACGACATGATAATCCAATATGGGAACTTGCATGCTGGAAATTTCAAGGAAATGAAAGAAGTTTGACCAAAGGGCCGACACCAGGCACGGCTCAAGTTTGAAGGGGTGAGGCTTTTTAAGACGTTAACGTTTAGAGTACTGGGAGTCCGCGGACCTTCAATGGCAAGTTGAGGAAGTCGATCACCAGCATAAGGCACCGTCTTGCTCGCGGCAATGCTGGGATGTGTCAAAGAAAACAGGTTTTGTGCGCGGCGTCCGCCCGTTTCTCACATCTGATCATTGGAAGTGGGGCAAACACACAATTGATGAAAACAGTGCTGGCACTCGTTTAATTCGACTCCTAATCCTCCGCCGACCCCCCTCGCACCCCCACCCGTCTGACACGCCCCAACATCCAAGAACAAACAGGGACTGTTACCTCTTTTGTAGCACGTGGAGAAAGCAAATAAGCTGAGGGTTTGTGGTCGCTTTATGGCTATTTTATCATATCCCTCCCGGACACCTTCTGCTTGCCCCAAGCGATGTCATTAATACGCCGCTTGGCGGCCTGCGCCTTCTCACAAGAGAAGTGCTCGGTGGGTTGGATTGCACCTCTGTAAGTGATTTATTAGTTCGTGAATTTACATCGGGAGTCACCATCGAAGAGACTTAGCAGGCAAGTCAGTCAACTTGATATTTATCTCATGTGAGAAGAACGCAGGACGGATTGGTGCATGTTGTGGAGCGTGACCATGGCTGGGGATCTGCACATTAAACTAATCGCAAGCCTCTGATTCTTTGTCCATTCAGACGTCGTACGTTGGGATTGTGGTCACGTGGTTTTGGTTTATGGCTTAAGGCTGCATTTGTTTGTGGAAAAAACTATTTTCGGTTGTTCGATCCATTCGCTCTTGTTTGACATGCGTTATGTACTTCCTTTCACCTCTCTTTCTTTGACATTGCGAGCTTTTTTTTTTACTTCGAGAAAAAGTGGGAGCAATTCGAGAGAGAGGGATGTATGAAGAGAGATGTATAGATAAAGGGTAAGCACAGAGGGTTACGCACTAGAAAAAAAATCGATGGTTCATTGTATTTGCACATTTTGTCATAAATACCAGCTATGCCTGTTGTTACGAATTCGATTGGTGTGCATGGTCATTATCATTGGTTGGGGATTCTCTTGGTCAAGACACGTACCCGCTCCGCCCTTTTTTTTAGGTTTGCGGTTACGACCCCCCCTCGGCCCTTCTGTCCAGTTTCACAGGCAGCCAAATACCGACCTCCCGCCACCTGTTGCGAATTTTGGTGGATGTAAAACAGCGCCTCCTTATAGACTGCAAGGGACTACGATCCATGGGTCGTTAAAACTTCGGTCTGGAACTAGTTTTAGTGAAGCTACTGCGTCTTCGCACTCATTGTAATAGCATCAGTAATTACCTTCAAGTGTTTGATTCCAGCAGAAGTTGAGAGTGACGGTCCTACGCAACGGAAGGGCTGTCCGCCTCGAAATCTACCCGAAACGTTGGTCAGGAAACGGTATTTTGGGTTGCGAGAAATTGCTACAAGTGACAACTTCCGATGTGCTTAGAGTCTGCAATCTGTGATGTAATGATACATTAAAAGAATATAGCTGTTAAAGAAACAATCATAATCTGCTGTGACTTTCAATAGCCGGTAGCCAGTTGCACGATGTTGAATTCATCTTTTATTGTCTTTTTACTACCGGTAATTGTACCTATAATGCCTACTCACTTATTTGTGCTGTTTTACAGAGTGCTTTATCCATTTATGCACATAATAAAATTTTGAATTATTGAATGTTCGAAAGAAGAGGTGCCATATTTTCCGATACGTTTCCGTTTAACTTGATGTTTATGAAGTAGCTGACTTTGTTGTGAAAATAACTAGTTAGAGGGCTTTCATGCTTAGCGGCTCGAGCGAATACGACAGGTGGCGCTTCACCGCTAATCATTGGACTGCTGCAACTTCTTATTCGATCAATTCCAGAATTAGATAACTCTGTCAGTTTATCTATAAGTGTCAGCAGCTTAGTGCAGGAGCAAGAATTTATGGCAGAAACTTGAGATTTGCAGGTGTGGTTGAATTAGAATTCGCAGCAGTCCAAACGATTAGCAGAGGAGCGAAGCTCACCTCGCGAAGTTTGAACGCAATGTTAGAAGAGTTCGTGCAATTTAATACGACGGCTGCTAGCTCCAGTAGATACCCAGTTGAAAAATGGTGAAATTGAAACATCTTAGGGCTGTCCAATCTGCTGTTGGGTGCGCCATAATCGGAGTCGTAGAGTGATTCTGGAAGCAATTTGACCAATACGACTGGCGAGGCCAGGCGATATACAAGCCAGAGTTTTTCTCTCTTAAAACGAGTCGCATTAGACCGAATCATGGAGGTGCTCTGACGGAGGCGAGGGATCTGATTCAAAACCCGTCATAATACATATTTTGCAAATACATTACCCTTTATCGGATGGATTAGCTCGAGAGATGAACAATCATCCCAAAACGCTTGGTGGTCGTAGTATATGAATGTCGTGCGTGCGGTTGTGACGCGGTCAGCTGCGCTCCATCCCGTGGGAAGTTGTGTTCATTGAGACTTATTTTAATAACAGGTCTCATTATGGTGAAAGCTGTCAATCATGTGAAGCTCATGAATCATGTGAAAAGTGCAAATGAGGAAATTTGTTTATAAGAGTTTTTCATGTTTCTACAAGGTGGCTTGTACAGGCTTTGTTGAGTACCAGCTGCTGTCCCCACCAACTGTGCTCAATCCTATTCATTTTTGAAGATGACGATACTGGGGTGTTTTCAAGGGGTTACGTTAATGAGACAATCTTTTTCAGTTTTCATGGACAAAGGATTGTTGTCTCATGAACCATGGTTACGTAAGTACGACCATCTTATTGGTGGTTTTGCAGGAGGTGTAGTGAGTACAGCAGTATGCCATCCGATGGACCTACTCAAGATTCGCTATTCAGGATACGAAACCGGCAGAATTTATAGACCTTATGATTTTTGGATGAAAAGTAGCAAAAGTTAACATGTGGATCGTATGGGAGAGGCATGCAGCGGAATATAGGTCCATGCTCAGTCTCTGTTTCGTTGCGTCTCTGAGGTAAAGGTCGTTCCGTAGGGGCTATTGTGTGTGAAAAGAGCACGTGTTCAGACGCGTATCCCATCGAGTAGGGTGACCCGATGCGACCAACTTTGGTGTGAGAACAAACAGGCTAGCGCTGCTCCAAACCCAGCACTTCTCCCCCTCCTCCCTTACCCCCACCCCGCCCCGACACGCATCAGCGTACACAGCGATCAAGACTTTTAGGTGAACACTATCTTAGTTTGAGAGCACAGAAGAAAGAAAAAACGTGTCATTTCACATCAGTTACACTTCTGAATGATTCTCCAGTTAAACTATCGCCACAACCGGACCACATGCATATCTCATAACTTCTATATGTATCGAACTGGGTTGTTTCGTGGGAGAGGGGAGAGGAGGGACTGTTCGGCGCGGCGTTGGCCTGTTCACCACGTCACCGGATTGTGGACTCTGAAAGACGACACAATGGTGGAGAACAGGTCGACGCCGTGCCAAACCTACCCTTCCCCTTCTTCCTGAGACGCCCAGCGTCCGCAGAGAACAAGGCTGCAAGTCTGGTCGTCTGCGCCCTCTCAGTGGGTAGAGGTCCCTCCCCCTCAGGGTGGGCATGACAATCTCGCCGTTGCTCCCCGCCCTCATCCCTCCCCCCTCCCAGCACCTTGTACCCCTACACGTTTTCACAGGAAGTTTGCTAATGGTTGGTTCTTATTCCAGCCGATGAGGGGAGCAGTTTTCGACCGCGATACAGAAGTTACTTCCATGCAACGAAGTGTATTATTCGTGCCGAAGGCCTTCGAGGAATCTATCAAGGCCTAACTCCCAATATGGTCGGTGCCGCGTTGTCGTGGGGCCTCTATATGGAATGGTTCGATTTATTCTGAGTTTGGAGATGGCTTCCAGCAGGGGACAATAGCGTTTCAGGTATCACAAGATCAAAGCTGTGTTGCCTATACGTTCTCCCAATGAAAATCTCGATAATTTTCTGATTGGCTTCGCCGCTGGGGCAGCTGTGATGTGCGTCACAAATCCAATTTGGGTCACGAAGACCAGGTTAGTAACAAGTTCTGTTTGAATTGCCGGTGTCATACACATCTCATTGGCGGGGAAGTACTCCTCGTTTTCAGGCTCTGCTTGCAGTACGAGACAGGTGCGGCGAAAAAGTACTCAGGAATGGTAGATTGTTTGAGGAAGATTTACCTGGAGGAGGGAGTTCGAGGCCTTTATAGGGTGAGTTACCGTCGTACAATGATATATTGTTCTTAAATAATCCGGAAGAAAGCAAATTAGATGAACAGTTTTCAATGGACAGTTCAGCTTGGTGGGTGCATTTTGTGGGTTCCCATAGGTCACGGACGATATCTTGTGGAGGCATGTTTATTCTTGTAAAGATATGTAGTAGCACGATTTTCGCTCACCTTTAACAAGGTTTCACAGGTCTCGCCAGAGACGTGTAGTTTAGCAGGAACTAAGAAACAAGCTAAGGTGCAAAATGCCCCCTCCCTTCCAGAGCTGCACGGTCTCCAGTAAAGGAGCTGTATATATTGACTTCAGGGATTCGTGCCAGGATTATTTGGCACAGTGCACGGTGCACTTCAGTTCATGATTTACAATCGGATGAAGGCATGGCGATGTGAAAGAAACGGCTTGGTTAAGGATTCGCAATTGGTATGTGCTTTATCACCTCTTCAAAAAAAATCCGCCTAATCGGTCGGCCCGCGCCTGAACGTAGCGTCTGGCTTTGTGGTAACTGCGAAGCGCGTAGCGGAAGTGATCCATTTTTCCTAACTGTTGTAACTGTAAAAGTCTCATTTGAGTTACCGAGTAATTACCGAGTTTTCAGGGTCAGACTGACTATCTGATGTTCTCCGCCATTTCAAAGGTCATTGCAACTACAGCTACATTTCCATATCAAGTTCTTAGAACCCGGATGCAGGTGAGCTTTATCCTCTTGAAGCCCTCAGCGCGAAAACTTATAATTTTGATCGATATCGATCAAAACCTTGGAGTGGTGTCTTCCCCCACCTCTACCTTATTACTCTGCCAGTTTGAGCGCTTTTATCTCGAACAAGGAGAAGTTACAGTATTTTAGCGGAGCAAGAGCGTATCCGGTGCCACTCTCGTCTCTTATACGGTATATCTGCTTTCTTCCGTGCTGCGACCCTTGCAGCCGTTGCTTGTGCTTTCAGAATATGCGACTGTCGTGACTTTGTGACCTACAAATGGGCGCTAACGCACCCAAACAGACGTGCTTAACAGAAGTATTATGAACGGCATATTCCTGAACTTCATACAGTTACGTTCACCGACAACAAACGTGGAAGCATGAGGAAGTATGAGCCGACGAACTACGGACACCTGTCGAGAGAGGTGTACGAGGTCTGTATAAAGGCTGCCTAATGGCCAACTTACGGCAGTTACCAGCAGCAGTTGTGACGTTTGTTACATATGAAAATGTTAGGCGTTTTGTAAGGAATTCAAATATCTAGTCATTCATCATAGTTTTATTGTTGTGCTTAGGGTTGTTTAATTGTTGTTGTTTTCGTCGTCATCAGAATTTAATGTGAGAAGTACCAAGAGATCTTACAGAGTACAACTTTGCGAATAGGTTTTGCTAGTCTTTCATGTTTTAGATATGCACCTTATTGAGGAGCAGAAGCATTTGTCTAAAATGACTTCCAAATTACCTCTCGGGGTTCAAACCCTCGTTCATACTTTTGCACATCTCGGCCTACACTGTATCGCACCGGTTGGGAATCGTTCCACTGTGACTGACAGCGCTCCCCGCCGCTAATCGTTGGACCACTGCAACTGCTAATTCAACTGCATACAAGGACTGCATGTCGCGTTGCGCGATACCTTCCAGGGCACATCTTCTCGATGAAAGAAATTTTTGCAAAATACGCTCCCTCCAAAATTTCCCCCTCTGGTACGACCCCTCCCCCTCTTCTGTTAATGCTGTGCATAGCGCTCATGAATCAGAAACATCAACGATCATTTCTCAGGTCATAGTACACCACCCCCTCCTCCTCTGCTCAAATCAAGTGTCTAAACTCCTCTGGTGGGGGAGATTTCCCAGGGTGGGATCGTATTTTTCAGTTGAACTTTATCTTCATCCAGAACTTTGGAATTATTCGTAAAACTCTTATCCCGGTGAAACTGTTATCGCGTATGTGAACCGTTTTCAATGTTGCTATTGAGCTTACTGTTAGTTTTCTAAAATCCTCTATTTCTCTGTTTTTCCATTTGCAAATGGAAAAAAAGAATAAATACATATTTTTACGTGCTACGACCAACTGAACTGCTTCGCGTCAATTAGTGCCACGCCTTTATTACTCAGCCGCATTTGCGCCGTCGTCTGTGCTTCGACATTGTGACCGTCTGAACATCGGAGATTTTCTCGAAGCCCACTGTTCTAAAAATTAAAACGCACGATTTGCATGCCTGACGCGCCCTCTCCACTTTGCACCGAGTTGTTAATGCTGGTGGGGCCGAGGACAAGTGGGAGACTGGTCTAGTCCAGCTCACGCATGTCCACTATCATGGCGCCATACACAACTTCAGTCACTCGATTTATCAGCACCGAAATGAAGCACTCGCATCGATTTCATCTTGTTTTAGGACCGCGGACTGACACCACCTCCCTCCTCTTCCGCCCATCTCCCTCGTTCACACGTTGTTGCTCTTTTTCCCATAAAGGTAATAAAGCCTCGATCGGCACACTAGGGCAGCCTGAATGGTGTGTAATGCACGCACATACATCAATAATTTCATGCATAACGATAGGGTAGATTGAAGCGCAGCCAAGCGGCATTCCCACCCAGTGCTTCCATCCTAAGTCCGCCAGCACGGCGTGTGGAGAGGCTACTTCTTGGCGCGAGGCGGTATAAATGCGACACATTAAGGGACCTCTAGATCTGGAAACGTGACCAAGCTCGCATCATAGCAATGATTTCCCCGATTCAGCAAGTGCCACTTCTTCCTTGTTGGTTTTAGTAGTGCTGATAAACATAGACCTTGGAACATATGCATATTTTTATTCGAGAAAAAGCAGCATGAAATGGACTATTCAATTTTCGAGGAAGTTCGTTCAGTAGTAGGAGATGATTTTGTCCTATCCGACAGTACCCGTGGTGACAGCAGGCGGCCGTTTCCATCGCGAGACCTTTTCACCGTTGGCTCGTCCCTGTCGGAGGAACGTTGTTTGGAACGCGTCCGTCCTGGATAGTTGACGCGATTTCTTGTGTTAAGTGGTGTGATGCGAGAAAATTGAGTGCTTGCTTCAGACGGATCAGCAGAACGTTCTGATAACGGCCTTCGTGAACGATCTTGCGGAGTGCTATCCTTTGGGTTTGTTGGCATGACGAGTGAGATTTTCCCTAAAGTACTCGTTCGACAATGGCGAAACGGAAATAGTGCCGCCCGAGAGACCGCTTTTCTCAATTCAAAATCGCATCAGAAGCCGTTATGTTCTCATGCCCAACGCGGAACTTACTCAGGCCACGTTCATACATTTAACGCGGCCTTCTCAAGCTTGGTTTGATAGATTATGTACACTCTGCGCTTTAACGCGAACTTTATGGGCGATAGCCACACAGTAGGGGATGACTGACTGTCTATCCCTCCTTGCCGCCCCCAGCTATGTCAGCGCCGCTCAATTAACTAGCCTTACTGAATGTCACGATTCGCGAAGTACCGTATTTTTTGAGCTGCGAGGTACCGTTCCAATCAAGTGTCGTATTTGGCTTCAGGGAAGGGGGAGGTCGTATTGGCTTTGAGACGGGGTCTTTCACAGCCGTTTCGGCTGCGGACGCTGGGACGTGTCAAGGGGCTGGGATGGCGCGGCGCTAGCCCCTTTCCACTGATTGCCAATTCGGAAAAATAACAACAGTTGGTAGAAAACAAGGGCGCCGCAGTCAAACCCAGTCTCGCTGACACACCCCAACGTCGGCGCCGAAAACAGTTATACACACTGTCGGGGCGCCTAATAACTTCTGTCGTTTCATCAATGATGCCCATACCCCTCCCACAACGCTGCTCTACGGTAACATTCTGGAAAAATTTGATAAGAAGAAGGCAGGTCGTAAGAGGACGGGGCATGTAAACAACTTCAAAGGCACGTCTATCCATGGCAAGAATATGGGTCATCGCACTCAATGGCAAAAGTAGGAACGCTAAAATTTTAGTCCGTAAGGGAGAACCCACGGAAACAGTCGAGAACCCCTAAAGTGTGTGAGTGGATGGGGGGGGTGAGGGGAGGGGAAGGGAAATGTGCGATGCATGGACAAGTTAGGCCTGTTAGGCGTTTTCGGGTTCGAGAGATAAGCTCTTAGCGCGGAGCAGGGAACCGTGAAGCCGTAAAACTGCCCAAACTCGGGATTGTCAAACAAAGTGCCTCCCTCAAGAAGGGAAAAACCCATCCATTAATAGCATGTACCATTCGAAAAGATCGTGAAAGTTCGTGAAAGTCTAACCAATTGGTAGCGTATTTGATGTGATTTGTGGGTAGTACTCCACGTGAGTGGGTGCTGACTTAGAGTGACCACAAGAAGCTCTTTCCAGAAATTTAGTTGTGCACTTGGCTATGAATGCAGCACCGGCTCGATAACGTTCCTGGAACAATAAATTACAGAGTAATGTCTCTTTATTCTTCGTTTACCTGTGTTAGCCCTGGTCCTTGGCACATGAGAGGCCGGCAGCTGCAATAGCGTGCCACATTCTCCGTTCAAAAATGCACGGAGCGGAACTGGAGGGTAATGATACCCAGGTGCCGACTCCACCGACACTGCCGCACGACCAAGCACACGCCTAACCGTGTCCAGACGCACTACCTTTCTGCGTCCTCTCACTTCTGATTACTCTCTACCTCTGATAGCGTGTTTGCGGTAGGATTTTGGTATAAAGCGTCACATCGGGGTTGGCGCAGGCGGAGTTGGGAGACGGCTTCCTGGTATTCCTATCCTCTAGCCCCGTTCCCAAGCACTTTTGAGAGGCGCAAAGTGAGCAGTGTACCGCAGCTGCGGAACCATTTACCTCTCATTCGATAGGACCGCGTTTGGAGGTGATCGTACAATGTGTCGTTAAGTCAGACCTGAGTGTAATGAATGCAAAGGTTCTCATGTATGAATGGCTCACTTGAATGAAGAAGTTCAAGTGGATATCACCAATCAGATAAATGAATGTTTGACAGCAAAGAAATGATAGCTGTGTTTTCGCTACAATATCACCGAGACCAACCAGGGAAATAGTGGAAAAAACGAAATAAAATGCTTTCAACAATGTCCAACTTTCGATTACCTAAATTCCAGAAAAGGCATTTTTAGATCGATATGACTGTGCTCATTTCTGCGAATTCCAAGCAGGCTACAATCCCGTCGAGAGTCTACTTTTTTCAGGCATAGTTCACGCTGGTCTTGAGGACAGAGTGAGGCTAATGTGCGCAGGAATTACTGTCGTTATCAGTGGTCAGCCGTCACAGAGGGGCGTGGATCTGGGCGCTTTGCCAGCCCGTTTTCCATCGATCATTGCGGCTTCATTCGTTCAATGAGTAGTGGAGAAACGGGCTGTCACCGCGCTGAAATCGAATTCGAGGACCATAAATCAAATCCTTTTTGGAAAAATGACAAATACATGGTCGTATTGACGAAAGAAGACAATACAATGGTCGATTACATTGTAAAGCGAACCGATACAAGACCAGTAGTCAAACACGTGTAAATTGTCAGGTTAACGACTATGATGATGCTCAAAAGCCGATGTGTTGGGGCCTGTAGCACTTCCCTGAAATTCGAGTATTCACTTATCAAAAAGAAGCTTCTTGTATCCACATATCATCTTCCGAGGCAGAGGTCACCGTGCTGGAGCAGTCGAGGCCCAAGCGACCAGCCAGTGAAAGGGGAACGCTTGATGTAAGCCA